TGATCCACTGAAAAACACACCAAGTAAAAACCAAGATTTGAATTGTCAGGAAAGGTCTTCAATTCCCACCCACTGTGAGCCTATGCTTATAAGAAGTACAGCAGGAGAAGTACATTCCGCTTCTCACAGAAGAGATAAAGAATACTCAGACAAAAATCCTTCCACAGTTAGCCAGTAAAAAAACAAAGCAAACTTCAGAAAGGAAAAATGCCAGACCCCATAAAAAAATATGACATAACTACACATAAACACACAAATCACAGTACAAAAAAANAAAAAAAAAAAAAAAAAAAAAAAAAAAAAAAAAAAAAAAAAAAAAAAAAAAAAAAAAAAAAAAAAAAAAAAAAAAAAAAAAAAAAAAAAAAGGGTAAAATTTGCAAAGGATTTAGAGCCTGGCTGCTTAATGAATGATTTGGTTTAATGGGCAAGCAAAACCAAATACACCCCACAAAGAACCTAGCAAAGCCTGAGTATCTGGACCAAATTCAGCCACTCAGAGACTACAGTCAAAGCTCAAAGTCCAAAAAAAGTGAATGGAGAAAGTCAGAGTGCTTCTGGACCTTAAAAACAGCTAAGTGTCACTCTAGATTCAACAACATAAAGCACACACCTTTACCTTGAGAATACTGATCTATGACTACAAACTCTTGCAAATGCATCAAATTGCTTTTTTTCCCCTAAGTCCTGCTTTTCCAGTAAGATGTGGCTTGTTTGAATCAATAGGCCATAGTGCCTTTCCTATTACAGGATGTAGGAGATCATTACAAAGGCAGAATAACTTTATGAAGATGCATCACAATGTGCTTCTCTCACCATAATTTCATCCAGACAAATTAGGCACTCAGCATCTTCCAGATGACAACTTTGAGAAGCACTTGGAGATGTCAGGGACAATCACAGCATCTCTGCGGAGCATGTAGCAGCCAGTAATACTAAACAGCACTTAGAAAACAAGAGAAGCGGGCAGAAGGGAGTTTCAGCTGATCAACTGGAATCAGCAAGTTTAAATCTGATTAGAACATTGATCTGCATCTGTGATAAATGCTGTGTGAGCTTTGATAACAACTCAGTATTGATTTCCAGGTTGAGGCTATTGAGAAGAAACAGTACTGTACCCAAAAATTACTTGCACCAACATCTCATGATCTCTCATTCCATCACTGATCCCACACATCCCTGATCTGCTTATGAGATCTGCAGAGATCACAGCACTGGAGGCCATGGCTGGTGCACATTTTTAGAAGAATGGTGAAAAGCCATTGCTGAGGCTGAGCTATTCACTCACTGCAGTAACAATAACAACTGGTAGTAGACATCAGTCTACTTCAGTAAGGAAGAAGACAGTCCTCAACAAGGCAACGCTATAAGGTAACAAATGCAGAACAACACCTCAATCACATGCCAACAACGTTTCCTTGTTTCCCATCAAATCCTGAGACTGCTTTTGCATGCACTGCCAGCACACTGCCCACCAAACAGGGGAAGGGAGTTGTAGCTTCTCACACACAGTAGAGCAACACTCCCTTAAATCAAGTAAGCATGAAGCTATTCCTAGTGAAGGGTAAGTAAGAAGCTAATGATGGTTATTAATAGCCTTTAAAGCTATCAGTTCATCTGAGTTAAATGCAAGAGTAATAATCCCTTTATGACCTTCCTTATTTTACTGGGAAAATGGACAAAGTTTCATGAAATACTGCTGCTAACCTCAGATTTCAACTATTTTAAATGTTGAAAATTACATTAACCTGAATCTATCAGGCTCTTTTGCATACATACCACTGAGGACATAGACCAGATATGGTAGGCAAAAGCCTTTCCTCCTAATAATTCTTCAAATTCAAAACTATTTTTGCCACAGTCTTCCACAGGTATTGAGTCTACATTTTAATCTGACATGAAGAATGCCTAGATATTATACATCACTCAATATGAGAAACTGGATTGTAATGATAAAGATGGTAAGGATTTCATGCTGTTCTTCACTTAGTCACAAAACAATAGTCCAGAAAATTTCCCCTTGTAGCAAGAAAAACTAGGAAAAAACCAAGCTTTAATGTGAAATACAAGGGCTACATCTTGACCAGAAGCACAGAAGAGAAGAAACAGTAAGAAATCTGTACTGTTCACATTGAGAATTCTTCCTCTGCAGCTCTACAACAAATGCAGATAACTAACCACATCCATAATCACAAAAGATAGCAGAATATAAAGCATGTTCTGTGAAATAGGAAAACAGGCACCTTGGTCCTTAATTTCTGCTGCTGTGCTTCTTGAGCCTTTCCTCCAAAGGACTTCTTACAATACAGGATGCAGGTACCAAAAAGCCAAAGTTCTGGTTTGAAATAGCAAAAATGAAAGCAAGACAAAATTTCATTTGCTAGATGACACTCTACCTTTATTTACAAGCTGTGTCTAAAGTCAGGGTGTATAAACAGAAGAGGTATGTACATGAGTCTGCTCAATCTATAATGTGCGCACCTGGAAATGCCTTGGCCTAAGAAACGCAGTACTACAAAGCAAACCTACATATTTATCTATTTAACCTAAATATTTATCATATTTAACATTACTATTGGCTTTGATTGTGGTTTGATTTTGTTCAGATTGTCAAGTGGCTCTGTACAACTCAAAATATTCTAAGACCACAGTGTACACATTTGTTTGAGTAGCTTACTGTTCCTGCACAGAAAAAGTAAGAAATTTACTATTCTTACTGCATAATAAAGGTAAGGTAAGAAAATCATGGTACTTGAATCTAACTGTGAAATGTTGCATGTTTTTCTCAGAAACTATTGTACATTTCTGCAGGCACAAGAACTGTGTCTAGGCCAACCAATGCATAAAGAAATAACTGTGACCTATGTCATCTAATGGGAACTATGTCAGCTAACGCAACTGAAATATGAAAGTATTGAAGTAACATGACTTTGTACTGAAACACTTTCTCAGTTTCACCTAGTATCAATCTCTTGTACAGTAAATGTTATCTAGAGCACAACAACTATCTGAAACTGCTCAGCAGATTTGCCCAATACAGCATCATGTTCAGCTGCATTGCTGCTCTTTATCTTAGAGTTGCTATCTCAACAGAAAACAGGATTTTGAAACTAAAATATAGTTTAAAATATGGCAAGGATAATCTAGAAATTCTTTTTCTCTTGCATCCCATCTCCCCTTTTACTATATTATTTAAATATGAACAAAGGTCAGTCTTGTCCATTGCATCTTGACTGCATCTAAGAGTTAACAGAGACTCTGACTATAAAGTCAGAACATCCTAACTGATGCAATATGAAAATTTAACTGGTGTTCTGTTTCTAACGTGCCAAGGCTTGAAAATATAACAGCAACCCAGCAAGGGGAACAATAATCAACATTTCAACTAGTTATCACAAAGGAAACACAGGGGATATTTGTTAACACCGAAGTCACTCTGCTGGAAATTAAAAATATGTTTAGAAGAAGAGTTGAGACTCTCACTTCTGAGACCACTGTGTGGTTAGAGGCACAAATTGTACTGATCTGCCTCCTAATCCCCAGAGCAGGGTAGTAAATTCACAGCACCGCCCTGCATTTGACGAAGGAGCTGCTTCACTCTCAGCACATGCAGTTACTGCATGGGAGAGCACCAAAGGGAGGAAACAGCAAAGCCCTCTTACCCAGGGAGCTGCCCAGACAGTAACTGTATGTGGCAGGTGGGAAGTGACAGATAACAGCAGACTCCTGAGACAAGGTGCTTCATGGATTTAGAGCATCTCCTCTGTGATAGTAACTTCTTGCCTAGTTCTGGCAACAAAAGACAGCAGTGTGCCAGCCTAATTAATTACTGGTTTAAGAATCTGAAGGACTAGAATCCATTTTAAGATGTTATTAAGAAAAATACTCAAAAAAAAAAGCCAATATCAGGACAATTTATTTCTCCTGGTGACTTTGATAGGTGCAATCTGGACAGCTGACAGGTGAGAAGGGGCATCAGGGCAAATTATCCAAATACGTCATAAATTACTCTTTTACCCTACTCAAAGTAAGTGCTGGCAAATCCCTTTCTGTAACATGGCAGTGCCTTTCTAGTCCCTTATACATAAGCTACAACCTATCTGTAGTCAGCACCACTCTAGGTCTTCTCAGAGTTAACCACTGCTGAGAAGTCCACAAAGCAAGCCCTGCAGCTGTACCATAACATGAATGCTCTCCTGACGTCATTTTATGTTACAGCTAAAAATCCACACAGACGTTTCTGTGGAACTGACAGATAAAATAAGATCAATGCAGTACAGTGTACACTCAAGCACAATGCACATTAAGGTTTTTGGGCTAGATCTGCAGACACAGCCCAGATAAGGTTGACATGTGAAGACTAGACACAGTCTAGTCTTCTTCACATGCTATTACAAACTGTTAAGTAGTGTATTGAATGGGTTTTACTTATAATCAGTAGATACTACAGATATTTTTGCATTAGCACCACAGCAAGACCTCACACACACACTCCCAAATTAAGAATACAAATCATATTGCATAAAGCAGTACAGTATGTATACATATGGGTGTATACAGCCTTCCTTGTGATATTCTAGTCACTTTGAAATACAGCACAGCTACTACATGCTACCAAGAACAAATAAAAGCAGGATGCATAACTACATATAGGGGTTCACATTCCACATAATCTTTCTTTAAATACACCTGTAACAGCTTCTACAATAATGGTATTAGAGCCATCATCCAAATACCTATCAGCTTTGAATTCTTATGCAAAATAGATGGCTGTAGCTTGCATTTTGCAGAAGTTACTGAACAACAACCTCTAGAATTTTGCAGTCAACTGCTTTAAAATAGCAAACAAAAATAAGAAGATAACTTGGTAGCATTTGCCCTCACTAAAAGCAGCAGTTATGCAAGGAGTTGGGGCTTTGGAAGAAAATCAGGTCTCACTTGGTAACCCCTGTAATTTTATACTTAGATAACTTCCAGTGAAAATCAAGCATATCTGACAGTACCTGTTCCTCTTTTTCTTTGGTCTTGCTCCTGGAGACTCTGGAAGAGGTAACATCCTGAGCTGGAATGACAGAGATTTGATGCAGTGGCATGTTCATCACACCGCCTTGTTTGGTCCTATCATTTACAGGAAGGAGGCTTGAACGCAGTGCTCATTCTGTGCCATTGTAAGGCGCCTTGCANGAAGTGACAGATAACAGCAGACTCCTGAGACAAGGTGCTTCATGGATTTAGAGCATCTCCTCTGTGATAGTAACTTCTTGCCTAGTTCTGGCAACAAAAGACAGCAGTGTGCCAGCCTAATTAATTACTGGTTTAAGAATCTGAAGGACTAGAATCCATTTTAAGATGTTATTAAGAAAAATACTCAAAAAAAAAAGCCAATATCAGGACAATTTATTTCTCCTGGTGACTTTGATAGGTGCAATCTGGACAGCTGACAGGTGAGAAGGGGCATCAGGGCAAATTATCCAAATACGTCATAAATTACTCTTTTACCCTACTCAAAGTAAGTGCTGGCAAATCCCTTTCTGTAACATGGCAGTGCCTTTCTAGTCCCTTATACATAAGCTACAACCTATCTGTAGTCAGCACCACTCTAGGTCTTCTCAGAGTTAACCACTGCTGAGAAGTCCACAAAGCAAGCCCTGCAGCTGTACCATAACATGAATGCTCTCCTGACGTCATTTTATGTTACAGCTAAAAATCCACACAGACGTTTCTGTGGAACTGACAGATAAAATAAGATCAATGCAGTACAGTGTACACTCAAGCACAATGCACATTAAGGTTTTTGGGCTAGATCTGCAGACACAGCCCAGATAAGGTTGACATGTGAAGACTAGACACAGTCTAGTCTTCTTCACATGCTATTACAAACTGTTAAGTAGTGTATTGAATGGGTTTTACTTATAATCAGTAGATACTACAGATATTTTTGCATTAGCACCACAGCAAGACCTCACACACACACTCCCAAATTAAGAATACAAATCATATTGCATAAAGCAGTACAGTATGTATACATATGGGTGTATACAGCCTTCCTTGTGATATTCTAGTCACTTTGAAATACAGCACAGCTACTACATGCTACCAAGAACAAATAAAAGCAGGATGCATAACTACATATAGGGGTTCACATTCCACATAATCTTTCTTTAAATACACCTGTAACAGCTTCTACAATAATGGTATTAGAGCCATCATCCAAATACCTATCAGCTTTGAATTCTTATGCAAAATAGATGGCTGTAGCTTGCATTTTGCAGAAGTTACTGAACAACAACCTCTAGAATTTTGCAGTCAACTGCTTTAAAATAGCAAACAAAAATAAGAAGATAACTTGGTAGCATTTGCCCTCACTAAAAGCAGCAGTTATGCAAGGAGTTGGGGCTTTGGAAGAAAATCAGGTCTCACTTGGTAACCCCTGTAATTTTATACTTAGATAACTTCCAGTGAAAATCAAGCATATCTGACAGTACCTGTTCCTCTTTTTCTTTGGTCTTGCTCCTGGAGACTCTGGAAGAGGTAACATCCTGAGCTGGAATGACAGAGATTTGATGCAGTGGCATGTTCATCACACCGCCTTGTTTGGTCCTATCATTTACAGGAAGGAGGCTTGAACGCAGTGCTCATTCTGTGCCATTGTAAGGCGCCTTGCAACTAAAAAATAAAAATATTAGATGATGTTAAAGTAGCTTGAAATGCAGTAATTTCTAAACCAAAGCTATGCCATCCACTGGACCAAGACATACGTCTTATTTTCTCTGGATACTGGTGCACTTGCTGGGTGAGAAGAGACACAGAAATTTTATAGAAGTTTAACTAGACAGGTCAGAGCACAATTAATGCAAAATGAACAAATAAATTCTCAACCAGTTCTGAAAGCATTCTAAGAGCAGAACTAGAGGGCAGGGATCATGCTTGAGTTTGCTTGGAGAAGGAGGAAGAGCAGCTCTCCAAGCTGAGCACGCTACCTGGACGTGCAGGGAACTAAGCTCATACAGGTGGAGCTACCTAAAGTGCCAACCCCCCATACTGAGTCAAACTGCCTCACAAGTCACCCTAAAAAAAAGTGAATGCTGCAGATTTGGCTAAAAACAAAAGCCTGTATTTAGCTCTTATCATTCATATAAACCTGTACCAGTTGAAAGATGTATCACATGAGCTGTTCCTTTCCTAAGACTATTAGGGATTAATACAATCAAAATCCCTAATGAGGGATTGTGAATTCACTGGATGGACTATGCACACTTCATCCTTCCTCTACTAATGTAACAGGGAAGCATTACACATAGGAAAGATAGTGATAGACATAAATTAGCCAAAATTGGCAATGAAAGGCAGGCGTAGTTAACCGTACCTTTTATTAGATTAGTGAAGTTACAATAAATAAAAAGCTTTTTGAAACATGTAATATCATGGAGTGTTTATTTGGAATGTAACTTGCCATAACTGAGACACTATCAATAGTGTTTAAAGAACACATTAGAAAGGAATTAACACAGCAGAGACTATATTAAACAGGGTAACTGAATGATGCACTGTTCTTCTGTTTCCATAACATACCAACTTTTTGTTTGTCTTTTTGAATCTGAAAAAGCAGAAAAGAGAGAATAGATAAATGCCCTATGTAATATGTTGTTTAATAATTTGGAAGTAGTATATCTTAGCACTTACTAACATAATCTTAATTTATACTGCACACATTTTTTATTTAACATTTAATTGGAAGTTTTGAAGATAGAACCAGACCATTCTGCATATTTAGTGGAATCAAAAACCTAAAAAGCTTGGCTTATTTCCACTACACTCCACAGGAATACTGCAGTTGTGTAAAATGAAAACAGGATTAACTATTTTGATTGGTTTTGATTAAACAATAGAAAAAAAAAATAAATTCCAAGGCACTTTATATATGGACAATGACAGTTCACTATCCTCTTTTTACTTGTGGGGGGGGAAGAATTATCAAAGGTTGTAGAGAAAATCATGAACAGAATTGAAAATGTAAGCAAGGCCTGCTGCATGCCAATCACACACTCCATCTGCTGCATGATGCTGTTTGCCCATTTGAGCGCTCAGCCAAGTTCAAGAGCTTTACTGACACGTGGGCAGGATTTGTATTACTCCCAGAGAGGCCAAGACAGAGCATCATAAAGCACACATGAGAGCTTTAAAGGCAATGCCTCCATAACTTTCAGGCATCACTTACTTTAAAACTAAAATATATCAGTATGCATAAACTGGCAACAAGGACACTTCCTTACTGGAGGACAAATAGAAACACGAGATTTAACAGCATTATTGAATCCCAGAACAAAGAGAAAACACAGAACCTCCTCAGATCCTCCCCACACCTGCTTAGTTACATCCTCTAAAAGAGACAAGCCACAGGGAATATAAACATGGGCTGAGATGGGATTATCAAACCACAATCAACAAGGCAGAAAGGGAAGGTATTTTCCCAAGAAAACACAGAGAAAGGAAATCCAGAGAAGATTAAGCTTCAATGAAAATATGCCAGGTAATATGTTCTGTGCTATTGCCAGTAATAACAGAGCAAAAGTGAAGAAGTTTTGCTCCGCCTCTCGCCTTGAAAAGGGTTCCAGGCTTGCAGGCAAGGACACGTTATGACTATAAAGAGAAAGGAAAATTATTGGAAAACACAGTTAACCCTCTCTGATGACGGCAAACAAGTCAAACCAGTTCTTTTTGCAGGTATTTCAAGGACAGCATGTGTTAGAATTCTTTGAAAGAGCTCAAACAGCAGATATAATCCAACTGTGTATTCAAAGATGATGTGAAACAGCCCTCCTCCGGTAAAGAAGCCTGGCAGACACTCTAATAAAGCCTGCCTTTGTTCAAGGGTGGCTTAGAGAAAGCTGTAAACTAAACCCAGATGCCACCCTGTCGCATCCCCAATCTGCTGGGTCCCTAATAATGCACACAACTCAAATTCTGTCTGTATCAACCTAAAGCACTTCAACTCCTAATTAAAGGATAAAGTTACGTGAATGAACAGACCATCTGCAGTACTGAGTACAAACAGACAAGCATGCCAGAAAACTAATGCCACTCAAAGCTAGGTAAGACAAGTCCCACAGGATATTTCACAGCTAAATTAATTCCACATCCTACCTGATTCAAAGGTGAGGAGTTGGGCACCTGCAAAGAGGGATCCAAACTTGAAGCACATCAAACTGGGGGCCTGCTAAAAAGGAAGAAGTGCTAAGAGCACTAAGTGCTCCTAGACAGTCCCTTCTATTCAGGATTCCAGTTAGATGTTTAGGCCATACCTCACACAAAATGAGAATTCCTTATTACTACAGCATCTCCATCCAACAGCAGAGTACACTTGCCCAAGAGGCGGCAGGTAGGGCTTCAGCTTTCTCCTTCACTGTGTTTTATTTGGTTTATAACTTCCTGCAAAGTTGGCTGGGGCACATGGGAATGCCAAGACAGAGAAGCTTGAAGCTCAGTTGTTACTCTTATCTATAGCCATGCTGTTTCCTAAAAGATGGACTCCAGTCATACTCCCATTGCAGAGAGTCTTCAGAAACAAATGCCATTGCAAAAGACAGAAGAGGTCAAAATCCTGGCTGCAGAGCGCCCAGATGGTCTTAGCTCAGTGAAGCTAAGATTTCACCCACTCATGTTTTGCTTTCTGCAGGATAGACAAACCAGTAACTAAAAATGCCTGCAGACATCTGGAACCACACCACCTAGGTCCTCATTACATTGTCAGAACCACAGAGCTGTGGCAAAATCAGTCAACTTCAGAGAAAACAGGATGGAGTCTCTCAAGGTAGTTGAGAAGTACAAGAGGAAGGAAAAGCATGCACATGACTTGGGCCTGGTGGCTGGGGCATTCCCTTGAACAATAAATCTGACAGAAGCAGAAAATTAGGCTCTTCTGGGTTATCAGCAGGAAGTACTTGGTGTAAAGGAAACCTTCCAGTCTGACCATTCACATGACTCTGGCAGTTGCACTCCCAACATGAGAGACTTTCACTGCCGGGATTGAAGCCTCTTCAATGCAGGAGGCTCCTGTGAGCCCATGAGACCCCTGCTTGACTCCCTGCACAACCCACTCAGTCAGACCAGGTTTCCTTACTGGTTAGTCCCCAGGTTTCCCATGGCATCATCTCAGATGTCTTGTTCCACAGAACA